TCCATCCATAATCTATCTATCTATCCATCATCCATCCATCCATCCATCCATAATCCATCCATCCATCCATCCAGCTTTGCATCCATCCATCCATCCATCCATCCATCCATCCATCCATAATCCATCTATCCATCATCCATCCATCCATCCATCCATCTTTCCATCCATCCATCCATCCATCCATCCATCCATCCATCCATAATCCATCTATCCATCATCCATCCATCCATCCATCCATCTTTCCATCCATCCATCCATCCATCCATCCATCCATCCATCCATAATCCATCCATCCATCTTTCCATCCATCCATCCATCCATCCATCCACCCATCCATCCATAATCCATCCATCCATCTTTCCATCCATCCATCCATCCATCCATCCACCCATCCATCCATAATCCATCCATCCATCTTTCCATCCATCCATCCATCCATCCATCCATCCATCCATCCATCCATCCATCCATCACCTGCTCTCTCTGCTTGTACTGTCCAGCCAGGATCCTCAGCACGGAGCTGGCAGAGGCCAACACCTTTTCTCTCGGATCTGTCAGTAACTTTGCCACGGTTTGAATCCCTTCCCTCTTCAGGCTGCACTCTGAAGGAAGGTGCAGGGTCTCTGTGATCACATCCTGGTCCCTCGACAGCAGGTTCTGGACCAATTCCACTGATGGGAAGTTCAAATTAAGTTGATCCTGCAGTTTGTTACTCTGGTATTTTGATTTTTGGCACTAAAACTTGAAGGATGCAAAAAAAATGCAGAGCTTTTCCATGTGTTTACCCTCTTCTGTTAGAGCAATGATGTGAAACTCCATGTCGCTGATGCCATTGGACTCCAGATAACTCCACAGCTGGAAAAGAGTCACGATTGGCTCATCTCTGAATCCTTGCTGTGGAAATTTCTGCTCCAGAACTCGCTCAACCAGACATGAAAGCACTGGAAAAACACAAGTATTAACGTAGCACTCACACACCAGCGTGAACCGAGCACACACACATGTTGTTTTACCTGTGTCTGCTCTGTCGCTCAGCATGCTGGAGTAAACCGTTGACAGCGTATTCTTGAAGGTTTTAGCAGAGACACAGTACAGACAGCCATCCCCCACACACTGCTCCCACAGAGACCCAGCACCAAAACACTGGTACAGCTCTGGTATCACTGCAAGAGACCAAGCAGGAAACAGTAAACATTTTTTATTCACCGCTTAGAGATGGGAGGCTCGTAATCATTCTGTTGCTGTGCTTTTATTTTGAAGGTGGGTGGGTGTTTACATCAGCAGCCTCCTGTGCGTGTGCAAACAGCTGAATCATTCTTTGTGTCATGTAGGGGTAAATACAGGGCTAGTACTGCCAATTCCAATATTTGTCATGTTCAATGAATAATTATGTGATAGTTTGCGTTTAGTAGTTGATTAAAATAAAACACTGGACAAAGATTTTCTGCAAATAAAATTGTTTTGTGTTAACTAACTTCAACAAAATTATGTAATATAAAAAACACACTATTTAAGAATAACAAAAACATAAATATATCAATCTCAACACCACCACAACAGCAACAAAAAAAAATCACTTCCATTGCGTGTGGGCACAATGAATAAAATCTGTTTCTCATGGAGTACCTCATGGTAGTTGTTTCGGTCCATTACGGTTTTCAATTTTTACAAATGATTTTCTGTTTTGCATGAAAAATGCAACAACTGTTATGTATGCAGATGACTTCATGGTGAATGCTTTTGATTCCAGTTGTGAGAACAAAGTGGGTAATTAATAATAAAATATTTTTAAATGTAAAGAAAACAAAAATATAAGAATATGATTTAATTATAACCTTAGAGAAAATCCAGAGTTAAATTTTGGTATTAAAGATACAGTAATTGATCAAGTAAAAGAAGTTAAGGTGTTGAGTTGGAATGGGGATTTGTCATGGAAAAAGCATCTTGATAAATTAATTTGGCCATGATAAAAAAAAATGTTTAAGATAGCTGACAAACATGGTTATAAATTTGATTAAATCTCTTAGAAAATTAGCTCAGGATGCACTGTAATGTTAGCATGATGCATATTAAATTGGTATAGAGAGTATCAATACTTGGATCGATACGCCCACCCCTACTGTAATGTTGACACAGTAAATAAACAAAGCTCAATACACTATGTAACTTAGTTTTTGCAAGATGTGAGCTACAAAGTGTTTATTTAACAAAGCCAGTGGCAGATTAATTTGTAAAAACATAAAATAAACCTTCTAAAACAAACACATTTACATCTCCTTTAAGGCTGTTTTGTCTTGTTTTCTTTGTTTATGTCRTCATTTGAGGTCAACTTTTCATCCCTGAAGGAATGTGTGTCGCAGCGGAGGCCATCTTGCCTCCAGAACAGGCACGTCTAATTTACTTTTATAAGTCATCTTTAAAAATTATCCAGTGGTTCATGGGATATTTGGCCGAACATCAGGTTGTTGTACCTTCAGCGGGATGTTTGAGCTGGTGTGGGTCGTCCCCGATGATGTGACGGACGGTCTTAAAGACACGGGCCTCTCTCAGCAGCTTGTCCAGGGCGTATGTGGCTCGACATTGCAGAGGACCAGACACAACCACATGCTGCACACATGGGAAACACATGTTAATGGGTTAATTTCTATTGTGTTTGAGCAAATGTCATTTTATTGGGGGTGTCATAAGCCCSCTGACCCCCCTGCAAATTATGCCTATGCTGATGATTCCATAATAAGACTTAACTGTTACAAAAAGACWAAAACAGAGATCTGAAAAGTTTGTGAACMACTGGTTTTTAGCAGCTATGATGATAATTTAAAAGYGATAAATGGTTTAAGCCTCCTGTTGGCTCCAAAGGAACAGTAGGGGTTTAGAGGAAGAGTCCTACCAACAGCTGCTTGCTGCAGCTCTTCAGGTGGAGAACCAGCGAGCGGTCCAGTCTGGTGCAGCCGGTGGTGAGGGGTGTGGAGGTCCGGTCCCGGCCTGGGCTCTGTGGAGGTGTATTGACTGGAAATGGCTCAACGTACAGATCCTCTTCGATGARCTCTGAATGGTTTCTGCAGACAGAGTCCAGTTTGTTTCAGACCACATCGTAAATCTGCAGAGGAACCTCTAACTCTTTGATTAAGCTCTTAAATTAGATTTTACTTAAGATTTTTTTTTCTGCTCGTCAAACTTTAAGTTTAGTACTTAAAGATAAAATACCTGCTATGTTTTTAATTAAATTAAATTGATTTTTGAAGAATTTGTATGAATTGAACAAGAAAACATGCTCAGGTTTTAGTAAAAGAAAAGCAGAAAGAACAAAAATCCAAAAACATATTGGTATATTAGTCTCACATTTTGTGATGCTGTTGCTTTAAGTTCAAGGGGTCTAGATCAACAGTCCTTCTGGTTTCTGGTGGTTTTTCAATGTTTTTTCTTGGACTTTGGCTTTTATTGCTCAGTTTCAGCCCAGGACTTGATCATTTTTTTTTATATTTTATCTGCTGAACATAATTCTGACCTTTCATTCAGGAATGAAAAGGCTCCGAAACTCAAGAAATGAACCAGTGATGTGTCAACAGACACACCGTCGCACAGAACCTGTTTTAAATTACATCTTTAGGTTCTTTGCTACCAGCACCTGTCACAAAGACACCATCTGTTCTCGCAAAAAATACCAAAGATAAAACAGTTTGACAGGAATGAAAAGGGTGTTAGCACCAACAAGTTCACATTTGAAGAGCTGAAATTTGCCAAAGTAGCTAAAAAGCAAAGTAAATGTTGAAAAAGCTTCAGAAAATCTGCAAACTTTAGATAAATATCACTAAAAAATGAAAGGAACGGGGGATGATTCTAATCCTAATCTGCTGTTTCTGCTTCAATGCAACAATTTTCTTACCCCGCTGCTTTGTCCGTTTGTGTGTTGAAATCCTTCARAGCGTCTTGCAGCAGCTTCAGCTCACCTTTCAGTATCCTTAAATCAGCTAAATGTATTGTGTATTTGTCTAGAGAGGAAATTAGAATTTCCAGAGCATCCTGCAGCCCTGTGTTCACCAACACACCATCTCTGGGCCAACATTTTGCTTTCACATGYGCTGGGGGACCCGCCGGCTGATGGTGTTGATCCTGTTTTATTCACAGRATAAAATAAAAATTGTTGGTGTTATTATAAATATGGCTGTAAAATGTACAAGAATGTCCTGAATAAAAGTCTGTGTGTTACAATCTGAGACGGGGATCTGTCTTGTTGAAGCTGCAGAGGGCTGAGGGTGGGCTGGCCTACCACTGGTTCTTGTGATCCAGATGATTGTGAGCCTCTGGATGGGCTCGGGCTCTAAAGGAGGCATTTGTTAAAGTTAGACATAAAATACACATAAACACATAACTCTCACTGTAAAATCCAACAATTAACCTGCAGTTTTCATCGGACCAGTTAGGAACCAGCAGTTATTTGATGCAGAAAACAAAATACTGTTTTTTATTATCGAAGAGGATTTTTTAATGGGCTGTTTCTATTAGAAGTTTAATTTATATTTATATAAAACACAAGAACAGAATCAAATCAAACATATTTTTTTTTACCAAAGACACTACAGTTTCTGTGAAAGTCCAGTGAAACTGAACTCAGTTCAGTTTGTAAATGAGACACTGAGTGACAAGAGATTTTCCTGTATAAATAAAGGAAAATAAAATAAATAAAATAAACACAAGCTAAATGCTAAAAGAGCACCAGRAGTAGCAAACAGTAGCTTAAAGCTAAACAGTGGCGGATCTAGGATTTTTCAGTGTAAGGGGCCATCAAGGGGCCACAATATTCATAGAGGGGCCAAGTATTTGTTTGACATCCTTGCACACAAATCCCCAGTTTTTGTAAGGTTTATTTAATTAAAATGAATTTAATTAATTAATTATTTTTTTTTATTTT